GTCTCTTCCCCCCTTTGGTGTCTTTCTCCTCCAACCTGYAGCCATMACCCTTCTTATCATTGTTTTAMACATCACTTTCATCTCTGAGTCCGGCATAGTCTTCCCTTCRAACAGCCTCCAGTTCCTTTCCGTCCAGATGACCCAGTACCCGGCATGCCTGTGCCACGTATGTGACGTGCAACCTCACGCCCTGCGCTGTCTTTCGTTCGGAGTGTTAAAGGTGCGGATAGAAGGCCMCGAMAAACAGCAAGATGGGGTGTGCCAAGGATTTTTGGGAAATTGAGTGTGRGGACACAGACAGAACTGAAATCCCCCGTGTTGGTCTGATGAAGTGAGAGAACTGGTTTATTGCGACGCGGGTTTCGCAGAAGCGCGCGCACGGGATTCGTGACGCGGGGAGTTTGAATTCAATCCAGAAAATATTGTCGGACCTCCCACCGAGCCACGACTCTTCGTCTGGAGTGAAAGGGAGCGGGCACGTACTTAGTATCCCGCTTTCGGACTAGCTCCCGACGCCGTGTGACGAACTACTTCCCAAACCCGTGCTATCTTTCGTACCCCTTTGGTTTAAATTTTTCTTGTATCATCCCGACCCCGTTTAATTTCTTGATTTCGGGCGCCGCAATTCGGGCCCCCATCTTCCGGAAGCTTTTGTGATTCTTCGATTCTGCTTTTTCTTTTGCACGTCGGGAAATGCATAGGAATTAACGCGCGCCTTAGCGAGCGCACTAGGAATTGGGCCCGGCAGTTGGGAATTCCGGGATAAGCGGAACTTCGACGTGTCCCTTTTGTGTGTGAATGTTCTCGGTCGCGTYGGGGAAAACTCTCGGAATTTTGTGGGGATACGAATAGGTGTAGGTCTTTCTTTTCCCGCGTCGCTCTTTCACGCGCGGATATGGTGATTTCAATTTTGAATTGGTTTAGGATGTAGGCAAGCTGTAACTGTTTCGATGCCTTTTCCTCTTTTTTGGTTGAGGGCGCCGCGCATGCAAAGCTTTCTCCTCTCTGTCCCCCGCATCGCTCTCTCCCGCGCTCCTTTTTCCTTCCTCCTCCTCTTCCTCTCTCCTYGTAACTGTTTTTCTCCCTCTCTCTCTCTCCCGCTCTGCTCTTTGCGCGCCCATTTCCCTTTCTTGATCATCTGAATCTTGGACCCGTCTTGCGCTACTTCTCGCGCCTTTTCTTTTCTCACCCTTCGAGCAAAGCTTGCGAAGTCCGCTCGATCCTTCGATTACTCTCGCCCACCAATCAGACTCGTGGTACGGTAGGATCTGCCTATTTTGCGACGAGTCTGATTGGCCAATTGCCGAGTTCCGAAGGATCAGCATGACTTTTGTAGCACGCTTCTCGCCAAGTCTTCTCCTCCTGCTTCTCTTCTTACACTTTCCCCCTGCCTTCTCTCTCCCTTGTCTCCCTCCTCGCCACTATAAATTCCGCAAACGCGCCCGCAAATCTCTCTTACGTTCTCGACTCCCGAGCCAGCTTCCGGGAAGCAGTGGCTAGGCAGAGTATTTTGTGCGAGTCGGAAAGTCCTGTCGGGCTGACGATAGGCTGGCCGGTTGCGCGCTTGATCGCCACGACGGGCTGTGGGATCCGGGCGAACCGCGTCGAGTTTACGTCGGCGGGGTGACGATCGCAGTGGTATGAGGATCAATGATTGGAGTTGAGTGGGTGATTGGCCCGGGGCCATATTGGAATTAACGGCGAATGCGCCTTTGTTGTTGCGGATCTTTATCTCTGGCGTGAGTGCACGGTAGCAACGCCGAACTTCCTCGTTTTCGGATCTTGTCATCTCCTATCTCGACTTTCCTCCCTCATTTCCCTCTCTCTCCTCTATCTTTGAATGATGATGTGTCTCGGTGTTTGTCTCCCCCTTGATGGGAATGAGTCTGTGTGCTTTCCGGGGTGAAAGAACCTCTTCAGGAACTCTTCCATTAGTTTACTGGGTAATCCCCATATGTCGAGGAATTGATCCTCTTGTCCCTCGGTTCATTTCCGACATGTGTATCCTTGTCATTTCCGCACCTTCCACAGTGAATGTATGTATGCGGATGCTTGTCTTTTCGTGTTGATTAGGCGCAACACTCAGTGCACTGGGATTTTGTCCGAGAATGCAAGAGTGTTTATATCTGTAGTTCTGAATGCACTGCGCATGCCATCTGCCTTATGCTGCCCGACATTTGCAACCGATCTACAGGGCAGCCTCGAGAAACAAGGCGCCTGGCTTCAATGTCGCGGTGGCTTGCTAAACCTGAGTCGCGGGTCGGTCCCTCAGTTACATGCATGATCAAGCTGATGAGTGTTTTCTTTCTCTCTCTCTTTCTCTCTCTCTCGTGTTGAAAAGGATCGATTGGTGGTGGCGCGAGTGTTTCTTTTCTAGATGACGTCTCGGGATTTTTGCAATTGATTGACATGTGGACTGACAAACACCCTTCGATCGGGCGTCAGCCTCCCGTATCTCCCGTATCAACACGACCTTTTCCTTACAACGAGGAAAGGACACGTGTATGCGAGTGGGACGTACGAGAAGCCGTCACACGAATCGGCGGGCGATATTACTTTCCTCAGGAAAACTGTTGTTCGGGGTTCGTAGAGGCTGGGTTTGTCATTATCGATACACACTTCCCACCCTACTCGATATTGTTGCCATTCAACGAGTTGATAGTCATCCCGAAACCCCACTGGTCGCGCACTCTCTGCACCGAATGTCAGCGCTTTGGGCGCTACGAAACCAGAGGTTTCCACTACCGTGTGCGGAGTGAGGACGAACATAGAGAAAGAGCCACGCGACTAAGACCTTCCACGTCGGATTCAGAACTGGTCAGTGAACGACGACGGGACTTGATACGAAAACGAGACACGAGAAGCGTGCCGAAACCTTTCTGTTCTAAACGACGGGCCGTAGCCAGGTGGGAAGTCTGACAATATTTTTTGGATTGAATTTGTATTTCTCTCTCCTCTCGCGCTAAACTTCCGCGCGCACTTTGCGTCGCTCGAAAAATGATCGACTTACTTCGTCGGACCAACACGGAGGATCTCAGTTTTGTCTGTGTCCCCACACTAAACTTCCAAAAATCCTTGGCACACCCCATCTTGCTGTTTTTCTGGGCCTCTCTCCGCACATCTAGCACTCCAAACGAAAGACAGTATAGGGCGTGAGGTTGGTATCGGAGCTGACACGTGTCGGTTCTGATAATAGTAAGTTGAGCTGGCGAGAGGTAGAAGAAGTCCCCCACCCGCTCGCCGAGATCGTCCAGTGACCTGATCTATATCTGGTGCGGCTATACCGACTATACCAATGGTGGACGGTAATAGGGTGGTGGTTAGCATTCTTGCCCCCTTCCCCTTCTTCCCTAACCATACCCACCCCGAAGCTTGGGCGGAAGCTGTCAAAGCTCAAGGGTACAGCGCGGGTGATCTTCCCCGCGTTCTTACCTTGCTGCTTCGAAATACGGCGCATGACTGGTTCAGAAAGCACACGTGGGTAGATTGGAATACTTTCAAACAAGCCTTCTAGGCTCGATTCGATACGGTCAGTGAAGATGCCGCCTGGTACGTGCTCAAAACTCGGCCACAAGGACCAGGGGAATTGGTGTCTGATTTCATGGATCGATTTCAAACCATGTTGGACAAATCGGGGCGAGACGAGAAATCCGGTCGAGATTTGTTCATCGATCATCTACGAAGTCCGACGTTGAAAGAGAAGTTACAGAAAAAGGTCCCGCCCAAGATGCACCAGCTATCTGCTATCATCGCTAAAGCGTTGAAATTAGACCTGACTGATACAAAAAAATATATCAGTGAGGGAGATGAAGATATTACGGATACCATACAAGTTGTAGCGGCTAAAAGGCGATCGTGGTTGCGGGCGGTAGAACAGTTTTATCCCCGCCCCGACCATGACCTTCCCGACGGGATCAGTTCCGATATCCCGCCTGTTTCTTCTTCCCCGGTGAATTAACCGATACCGGCAGTTAAGAGCAGAATCTCCCACGAAGCCCCCTCGCCGGCCGTAACCAACTTACATCTTGCCCAAATGATCCATACGGCCACTACCAAGCATTCTGAATGGATGAGCAACTTGATCCAAATGCGGGCCGCTCACATAGAGCGGATGGAATAGATAATGAGCAGGCTAATAAAGCGTAACCTGGCCCCTGCTCGGCCTGCCCCCTCGTCATTTCCACTCTTGCTTGCCCCGCCTGCACCAGGATACCCACCTCAGTTCCCTCACCCAACTAATCCAGCAAGAAAGATCGAGTGTTTTAACTGCAAACAGCCCGGGTATTTCGCCCGAGACTGTCCGCTGCCAAAGCGTAATCAGCCCCCACCTGCTGCGGCCCCTGTGGCCCGGAATCAAGGACGAGTGGCCGCCTTGATGGATACGGCCCAAGGAGGGGAACTCGTGGCATATGCCCCAGAACAGCCTTCCCCCTCGATGGCAACGACGTCGACATCGGGAGCCTCTTCCTCTGACGTTGCTGACGTGGTCGATCCACTTGAGTATCTTCATCTCGCAGGCATGATCGGAGCGATCCGATCGGCCCCTGATGATCTTGAATGGGTCGATCACGAATCCAATGCTGGTCCGTAGTTACGGACGGGAGAGATTGATGTATTGAGAGCGCTCAAACAACTGGATATTCGCGTTCCTATCCCAGTAGGACATTTGCTCACCATATCCGAAGCCGCGAATAATAACCTCTTGCAACATTGCCAGAAAAATCAAAAGTGCTTCACGTACCAGCGCATACAGCGAATGTTAAAAAAGAAGGAAGGAGGCGAGGAAGTTGCACCGCCCGAACCCGAAGCGGGCGAACCCGAAGCCGCACGTATAGCAGCGATCTCTTCAGCAGAGAAGGATCACTTCGTACGAGCTCTTTCTCAATCTGGCAAAGACACAGGCTCATCCTCACTTGAAGGCAAGCCGTTTAACGCCCTTATCGACACAGGGTCATCTGCCGTGGCCACATCATTAGACACTATCAGAAATACGGGACGACTCGGATCCATTCTTCCTCAATCTGGCAAAGACAATTATGTCTCTGCCGACGAGGAAGCAATGAACATCGTAGGCATTATTGAGAATGTGGCTGCAAAGGTTGGAGAAGTACACGTCCTTGTTAACGCACTAGTAATAGATGTGCGTTCCTATTCTGTGTTGTTGGGACTACCTTGGGCGATGGCGGTAGGGTCCTGTCTGCATTTCGATTCAAAACAACTGGTGCTCACGCAAACTGGGGGAAAGCCTCAAACTGTTCCCTTGCAAATTTTCACCCGAACGATAAAACAAACTCCTAACTCAGCCCAAATAGGGATGATTCGATGCTTTGATCCCGAGGAGTATTCTTCCTCGGACATCGGTAGCGAAAACGGGGAACAGGAATACGAAGAAGAACTACCTAGTGAGGATGAATGGAAGCACTTGGTCGAACTTTTCGAACACCGCCCGAAGCTTCCACGTGGATTCAGGAGACAGCGCGCTTGCGCGTCCGAAAACCCAGGTCAGTCCTTCAGTCCTCCTTGGGGAACCCCTATTACAAGTATTTGACCTGGCCGATGATTTGGAACCCCCTCGTACCTTGGACGAGCTCGTACCTTGGACGAGGGAGCACTTTCCTTACGAATGCGTTATCAACAAACGGAACAGTATCTAGACGTTTTTGTTTTCCCGCCCAGATCGTTACTAACGACGGGGGCGACCATCGCTTTGATTAAACAGGAAGCAGAAGCGCCGGTAGATGACGTGCCTGATCTAATGCAGGAGATGACGGACCTAACAGGATTGACTGTGGAACACACTTCGGCCGGCTCAAAAACTGACGCCGAAGCTAAAGAAACCGAAATGATCAGCCCCGCCGAATCATAGATGATTGCAACTGTCTTCTCTGTTCGCACCAGTAGTTCTGTCTTTTCGAGTGTCTACAATCAACGGGAGCGGCCGGTTGATTGGATCGACATACCCCTTAAGACTCTGGGGGAATCAACGATCACCCTACCGAGCCACGTCCCCACGGAACTTCGAAAGTCATTAATCAATGTTTTGAACGGTTATGCAGGTGTTGAGCGTGCATGATAATGATATCGGTTTGACTAACGTGATCGAGCATGTCATCCTCATGGAAGAACATCCGCCCATTAGCTGCGCTCCTTACCGATACTCGCCACCTCAAAGAGCAACAACTTTTTAGCGGATTAAGGAGTTCGAAGTTAATGGATGGATCGAACCCGCTATAGGTCCATGGTCTTTTTCCGTAGTAATCGTGCCTAAAAAGGCCGGAGGGATTCACATTTGCATTGATTATCGAAAATTGAATGATATCACGATCAAACATGTGTACCCCCTCCCCCGGATTGATGAGTTGTTGGATGCGATTGGGAGTGCTCGATTTTTCAGTAAGTTTGATGTTCGCCATGGGTTCCATCATCTTCTTGTCCGAGAAGAAGATCGTCCGAAAATGGCGTTTGTGCTTTTCGAGGGTACGTGGAAGTGGATTCGATGTCCGATGGGTATCTGCATCGCCCCCGTGACCTTTCAGCGAGCCATGAATATGGCTTTTTAGAATTTCGTGCGGAAGACTCGTTTGGCGCAGAGCATCATCAACTACTGCGTGATTGTGTACATGGATGATATTCTGGTGTACTCGAGTTCCTACGAGGGACACGTGCAACACATCGAATGGGCTCTGCATGCGTTACGAGATGCGGGCTTCAAAGTGGCGCTTGAGAAGTGTCAGTTTTTCCTTACCACCATTTCCTTCTTAGGACACGTGGTAACAGACAAGGGGCTCCAACCTGAGCCGCAGAAGGTGGCAGCTGTCAGAGATGCGCCGGTGCCTACGACTATCACGCAAGTTCGCGCCTTTTTGGGCCTGGCCTCGTACTACCGAAGATTCATCGAGAGCTTCGCGGCGATCACGGGACCCCTCACGAATCTGCTGCGCAAAGATCAGTCGTTGATCTGGACGCCGGAGTGTGATCAAGCGTTTTCGAAACTCAAGGCCGCTCTCATTTCGGCTCCGGTCCTTATAAGACCGGATCCCGAAAAGCCTTTTGTTCTCATTACTTACTGGCAACCAGAGGCAATTTCGGCGATCCTTGCCCAGGTGGGACCAAGTGGACTCGAGAGCGTGGTGGAGTATGTGTCCAAATCGGTACCCGCCTGCAAGCTATGTAACACCCGCGGACGCGTCCGCGGGTCCAATCTCGGATGGCGGACGCAGACGGGTCCGCATCCGCGGCCTACCTGGTCCGCACCACAGACCCGATTTTACCAGAATTTTCCTGAATTAAATAATAGGTTAAAAAAAAAAACAAATATGGGGTTGTAGGGAATTTTAAACCCTACAACCCCATAATTTTTTTTTTTGGAATCCGACTTTGTTTCGGATTTAAAAAAAATCAAAAACT